TCCAACCTAAATGATCCTGTGATTCCATGATGTGCCCAAGCTGAGCTCCGGGGACAGTGTGTGCACCAGGGTCTCCTGTACATGCACCAGATGCATCTGGGCACAGGGTTCCCCTCCTCTCCATGCCTGGTGTGGGCATCTCCTGGCATGTTCACATGGACACTGGGTACAAAGGAGAGAGAGGGTAGGGAGCCAAACCTGCCCACCCGGCTTCCCCATCCAGCAGCGCTGGACAATCCTGCCTCCCCCAGTCTCTGCCCCACTAAGGCTCCACATGGCACCTGCTTCCAGTAAGGCACAGCAGACCCATGGCACCACCAGGCAGAGCAGCCAGAGAGCACGGCCCTGTGCCACAGGATCTGGGTGTGCCAGACAAACCCAACAAACAGCTGGGAACACAATCCCAGTCCCAGGGGGAGCAGGACCCCGAGCCCAAGGCACTGTGGTGTGCTCACACCAGCCCAGCCCTGGCATTGTGACACAGTGACAATGTTATCACAGGGTCACTGGGGTTGGAAAAGCCCTCCCAGCCCATGGATCCACCCTGGGCCCCATCCCCACCTTGTCCCCCAGCCCAGAGCACTGAGTGCCACGGCCAGGCCTTCCTGGGACACCTCCAGGGCTGGGCACTCCAAACCTCCCTGGGCAGCCCCTGCCAAGGCCTCACCACCCTTTCCAGCAACAAATTCCTCCTCAGCCCCAACCTGACCCTCCCCTGGCCCAGCCTGAGGCCGTTTCCCCTTGGCCTGTCCCTTGTTCCCTGGCAGCAGAGCCCGACCCCCCCCGGCTCCCCCCTCCTGGCAGGGACTTGCAGAGCCAGAAGGTCCCCCCTGAGCCTCCTTTGCTCCAGGCATGGAGATACCCTTCCCTTCCTTTCCCCTGTGGCCTGTCCCTACCACCCACAGCTCATCTTCCAGTGCTCCCAGTGCTTCCAGTGCTCCCAGGCTCATGGCATTGCTCACAAAGAGCTCAGGGTGCAGGGATAACATGGATAACCTGCCCATCCATGGGAAGGGGGTCACGGAGCAGCTCCCCTGGCCTCCCACACCCAGGGTGATGGACCAGCACTCACCGTGATCCAAGGGATTATTGCACTGAACACTGAGGCATTAATTATTGAGCAGCAGTTAAATGCTCATTAGATAGATTTAAACATCGAGACCCAAAGAGCCATTAAATATGGATTGAGGAGGGTGGGGGGATCTGGTGATTGACTGAGCTCCATCTCCTTTGTGCTGAGCTGCCAAAAGCTTCCCAGCCCATCTGAGGTCTCCCTGCTGTAGATGTGTCTGCTCCATCCTCTGGAATGTCACCTCCCAGCTGTCAGAGGTGGGGGAGAGACAAGCTCTGGGAAGCAGGAGGGTGTGGAGGAGCAGCTCAGCCTGATGAGGATGTGGCTCCGGCTCCAGGTGGCCCCGAGCAGGGATCATTCTCCTGGCACAGGCCTGGCCTTGTTAAATCCAGCTGTGGTGGCCTGGATGGCAGCTGGAGCTCTGCAGGGCCACAGCCTTTCCCTTGGGATGGGAATTCCTGGAGGCCCAGCACGGCACAGGAATCCTGGGCTCTGGGGCACCCTCTGAGTTCCCCTCTCTCCCCACCCCACCTTGCTCTGCCCTCCCCCAGAGCCCTCAGCACGCTGACAGCTCTGCTCCAGCTGCACTCCCCGTCTTCTTTGCAGGAAAAGGATCTTCCTGCCTGACAGCAAAGCTGCCTTATTTAAAGCCCAGTCGCAAATTATTCCTGCCAGAGCCAATATCCAGCCTGTGCCTGCGCTCTGCTCGCGGTGCCTGCGGCACAGCTTCCCCTTCCGAGCTTGGACTTGATGATCCTGGAGGTCTTTCCCAACCTTAACCATCCCAAGGGTGCAGGCAGGGCAGCAGAACGGGGTGAGGAATGTGGGACAGCAGCAAGGCACGGCCATCAGAAGGCAAATTATAGAGGTGTGTGAGAGTTATTATTAATTGTATTAATTATGAGGTGTGGGGGGTTGAGGGGCCTCTTGAGTTTGCCAAAGGGTTGTGTCCCTTCAGTGCTGTGACTTTACAGGGGAAAGGTGGGAAGATCCCAGGCAGTGGGACTGCTTTTCCTGGCAAAGGTGACCAGCTAATCCTGTGGTCCCTCTTCCCTTGGGATTTGGCAATGCCCACCCAGGAAGCTGCACTGTGAGGAGGCAGGTCCCACCTGGGAAGGGAGAGCCCAGGGATGCTCCAGAGCTTCCTGCTGCTCCCTGGCTCCCCAGGAACATCTGCACCGGTGTTCCCAGGAGCTTTGTGGCTCAAACAGAACCATTTAAGTTTCCATTTTCAGGTGGGTGTGGGGAGAACCCAGGGGCTGGGTTTGGGGAGCAAAGTGGGCGTTCAGCTTCTCTGGGGAGACCTACCCAGACATTGGGGGTGCCAAAGGCTGGATCCATCTGTGTGTGCCAAAGGAGGGGCTGGCCAGGGGCCAGGAAGGGGCTGGGAAGGGTCCAGGCAGAGTCTGGGCAGGATCCAGGCAAGGTCCAGGCAGGGGCTGGGCAGAATCCAGACAGAATCCAGGCAGAGTCTGGGCAGGAAAGGCAGAGCCCTTCTCCCTTCATAGCCAGCCCCACCTTGCTCTGCAGCCCGGGGTAAGCACAGGCAGCTGCACCCCGTTTTTCCACTGCAGGGTGGCTCCCCTGCCTCAGCTTGTGCACAAAGTCAGCCAAGAAACGGGTGCAGATGGCAGGGAAGGTGCTACCCAGGGGCAGCTTGGGTTTATAAGGGGAAACTGTGATTCACCAGCCAGCCTGGCAGGACAGGAGGAGTGGTTGGTGGATGAGGAGGGAGCAGGGGATGCTGTTTAGCTCAGTTTTATTAATGCTTTTCAGGCTGTGTTCTCACAGGCACCCTAACAGGCAAGACGAGGTGAGGTGGACTGAAGATTTGCTGAATGGCTGGATCCAGGGGGTTGTGAGCAGTGGTACGAAGCCCTGGTGGAGGCCAGTGACCAGTGGGGTAGCCCAGGGGTCAAACTGGGGCCAATATTGTTCAACATCTTCATTAATAACTCAGGTGATGTGGCAGAGCACGCCCTCAGCAAGTTTGCAGGGTCAGTCTGCGACGTCCTGGTGGGGGGAAGTGGAAGGGCAGGCACTGATCTCTTGTTCCTGGTGACCGGGGACAGGACCCAGGGAACGGCTGGAGCTGTGTCAGGGCAGGTTTAGGTTGGATTTAAGGACAAGGTCCTTCCCCCAGAGGGTGGTGGGCACTGACCAGGCTCCCCAGGGCAGTGGGCACGGCCCCAAGGCTGCCAGAGCTCCAGGAGCGTTTGGACAACGCTCTGAGGGACAGGGTGGGATTGTTGAGGTGCCCTGGGCAGGGTCAGGAGTTGGGTCGGATGATCCTTGGGGGTCTCTCCCAACTCCGAATGTTCTGTGATTCCAGATTTCTCTGACTCCAAACCGGGAGGAGGGACGCGCCCGGCAGATGGATTTGCTGCCATCTAGAGCAGAGAACGGAGCTGCGACCTCGTGGAGTTCAACCCAGGGAATGCCAAGTCCTGGGGAGGAATAACCTCACAGCACCAGGAGAAAGCAGGGAGAAAGCCAAGAAAGGAGTTCTGGCTGACAGCAAGCTCATGGCACAAACCACAGCCAGCAGCATCCTGGGCTGTGCTGGAGGTTGCCAGGAGGAAGGTGATCCTTCCTCTCTGCTCAGCAGTGGTGAGACCACCCCGGGAGTGCTGTGTCCAGTTCTGGGCTCCCCTGAACAAGGAAGACGTGGATATGCTGGAGAGAGTCCACCCAAGGGTGATTCTGGTGGCTGGTGACTGGAACATCCCTCCTGTGAGGGGAGAATGAGTGAGCTGGGGCTGGAGAAGAGACAGCTCAGGGGGATCTTGTCAGTGGGTACCAGGATCAGGATGGGAAGGAGAAGAGGGAAATAGATCCTTCTTAGCACTGTCCAGTGACAGGACAAGAGGCATTGGGCACAAATTAAAAAAAAAACACCCTGAAATACCACCTAAACACAGGGAACCTCTTTAGTTCCTGTGAGGAGGACTGAGCATGGGCACAGGCTGCCCAGGGAGGTTGTGGAGTCTCCTTCCTTGGAGATATTCGAAATCCAGCTGGTTGTGCTGCTGGGCAAGCTGCTGCATCTGACCCTGCTTGAGCAGGAATTGGACCAGGTGACCTCCAACCTCAGCCACCTGTGATTCTGTGGCAATTCCTCATTTGCCAGCCCTCCCTTCCAGCCACTCTCCGACTCTGGTGCCTCACATGCCCAAGCAGCAGCCTCCTCTTTCCACCCCCTGGCACCCAGCCCGAGCCTGCAGATGGAGAGAAGCAGACACGGCCTGTGGAAAATAATGTCAGGAACAGGATCAGAGAGAGCTCCAGCTGGCATGTGAGGGGTGGTTCTGGGCTGCAGAGGGACATCCCAGATCCATCTGCCACCTGGAAGCTGCGGGATGCCTGCCCAGAACCACCCCCAGCCCAGGAACACCAGGGCCCTCCTCTGTGGGCAATCCCTGGCTGTTTCTCCTCCCAGGGGAATGGCAGATCCTTGCTCTGGGACCTGCTGTCCCCACGTCAGGGAGTAGCAGTGACTCTGCCCCTTCTCCTGGAAGGGACACAGACTGTCCCCTGTGCTTCCCTCCCTGCTGGCAGCCCCTCCCTGCCTGCACCTGCCTGCTGTGATCCCACATCCCTGCTGCTGCCAGGGCCTCCTGCCCTGATCCCGCAGGCCAGGCTGTGGCTGCGTGTGCTGCTGGCACAGGGGTCCCTCTCCTGGGAACACTCACCATCCCTGGAAGTGTCCAAGGCCAGGTTGGACAGGGCTCGGAGCCACCTGGGCTAGAGGAAGGTGTCCCTGCCACGGCAGGGGGTGGCACTGGGTGGTCATTGAGGTCCTTTCCAACCCAAACCATTCCAGGGGTCTATGACTCCATGCTGGCCCTCTCCCCCCATCCCAAGGCCACCGTGCCCAGCACGTGGAACCGGCCCCTCTGTGACATCAGCCCCGGCCCGGGGGCACCGGCAGGGCCGTGGGGGCTGCACTGGTGGCTGTGCTGGAGGTGACCCCCTGCTCCTGGCACTGCCACCCATGGCTTGGCTGTGGCTCCTGGTCCTGCTGGCCCTGGCCGGGCCCGTGGGTGGCACCTGGGACAGCTGCAGGTCAGTGGCCCTGGGACGTGGGAGGGAGCTCGGGAACACTGGGGGGGTTCCCAGCAGAACGGGGGCACAGACGTGCCCTCGGGGGTCCCTGGCCCTGCTGCCCCTCAGCGCAGTGTGGGGGGACAACAGGGGACCTGAGCGGCCCCTGGGCAGGGCAGTGATGGCTTTGTGCTTCCAGAGGGACCTGCGGGCTCCGGCCCATGGCTTCTGACCACAACTCCCTGCTGCCCGACGGCCCCGTGGCTTTGGCCGATGGCACGTCCCACGCCATGGGTGGCACCGGTGTCCAGGCGGGGGCCTGGCCTGGCATCGTCAGCATCCAGGCCAGCTGGGAGAACGGCACGTGGCACATGTGTGCAGGGGCCCTCATCCACCCCAAGTGGGTCCTCACGGTCGCCCACTGCTTCTTCGGGGTTGGGTAAGGAGGGGCAGGGACAGGGATGTCCCCACAGCTCGGGCAGGTGCCCAGTCTGGGAAGGGAAGGGCTGGGCTGCCTCAGCCCCTGGCTCTGCTCCCTCTCAGCCCTCTCTCCATCTGCCCCAAGGGATGTCTCCAAATGGGAGGTGGTGATTGGGGCCACTGATCTGACCGAGCTGGGCCCTGAAGCTGAGCTGAGGCACATCCAGAGGCTCCTGGTGCACCAGCACTACGCACCTGCCTTGGCAAGGAACAACGTTGCTCTGCTGGAGCTGGACGAGCCCGTGGAGTGCAGCGACTACATCCAGCTGGGCTGTGTGCCTGATGCCTCACCGGTAGTGTCAGAGCTGAAAACCTGCTACATCGCGGGCTGGAGAACCACCTTGGACAGTGGTGAGTTCCCAAACGGGACGTGGGCACTGAGGCTGAGCTTGGGGACACGGGTTGGGCTTCCCAAGAGCAGAGGCCAAAGCCAGAGCCAGGCTGCAGGACATGAGCCCCGGCACAGAGGGGCCTGGCCCTGGCCCAGAGCCAACAGCAGGGCCCCAGCGGGACAGCGCTGCTCCAAGGCTGCCCCCAGCCAGGGCAGGGCACCAAGGCCCGAGCTGCGGGGGCTCATTGCCCTCTGTGCTCCAGCTCTCAGACCACGCCTGGTGCTGCAGGAGGCCAAGGTGCGGCTCATCGATGTGCAGCTCTGCAACAGCAGCCGCTGGTACGGGGGGGCCGTGCACCCCCACGACCTGTGCGCTGGGTACCCGCGGGGCGGCATCGACACCTGCCAGGTGGGAGCGTGGCACCAGTCCCTCAGACCTGCCAGCACAGGGACCCCCTGACCCCAAACATGGCACGGGCTGGGCCTGGGTCCCCTCGGGTCCCCATCGCTGCCAGGGCTGCCCTGTCCCATGTCCCCTATCCCAGGGTTGTCCTGTCCCATGTCCCCTATCCCATCTGTCCCATGTCCCCTATCCCAGGGTTGTCCTGTCCCATGTCCCCTATCCCAGGGCTGCCCTGTCCCATGTCCCCTATCCCAGGGCTGTCCTGTCCCATATCCCCTATCCCAGGGCTGCCCTGTCCCATGTCCCCTATCCCAGGGCTGCCCTCCCCTTCCCTATCCACGGGTCCCTGTCCCCTATCCCAGGGCTGCCCTGCCCTTCCCAAGCTGTGAGTCCTGTGTTCCCTTGTCCCCAAGGCCTGGCTGTGCCCACAAATCCCATCCAGTGCTCCTGGCAGCCCCGAGGTTTGGATGTGATCCCAGAACATCCATTCTCTGCACATCCCTTATCACTGTCCTGAGATGGGAGAGGGTGCAACCCTAACAAGCCCCTGATCTGTTGCTGAGGCTCTGGAGGCTCCAGCCCCCAGGCAGAGCCTTCCCATGCTGGGAATGTGACTCTGGCAGGGGCTGGGAGAGAGGAGCCAGCCCTGCTGCTGCAGCAGCCCCCCACAAACCCTGAGCCCTCTCTCCTGCTGCAGGGGGACAGCGGGGGTCCCCTGGTCTGCAAGGACAAGAGAGCCGACTACTTCTGGTTCGTGGGAATGACCAGCTGGGGAAAAGGCTGTGCTGGGGCCAAACGACCCGGGATCTTCACCTCCACCCAGCAATTCCACGACTGGATCCTGCTCCAGATGGGATTGCTCCCAGCAATAACAGCTGCTCCAGCTCCAGAACCAACCACTACCTCGACTCCTGAGCAGAATTCAGAGCCAGAGTCCAGCCTGACCCCTGTGGAGATGCCAATGGAGCTGGACAATTTTACACCCATTTCAATCCAACAACAGATACTGGGGCAATTCTTTAACCTCCTCCTGGAGCTCCTGCAGTTCCTAAAGGGAAAAAAGACTTGAACAGTGGGATGAGCAGATCCAGTTCTGGCTGCAGTGGATTACAATGACTCCCTGTTGGGACCAAGACCATTCCCTGGTGGGACCACGACTGTGGGGCCAAAAGCAGCCCCAGTGCCCAGGGCTGCTCTGTGCTGCCCACGCTCCTCCCCTGAGCCCACCTCGATGGTGAAGTTCAGTGTCATTGAAATAAAGTTGTTTGTGTTCCCCATTAACCTTGTTTTCAGCCCAATTCAGTCTCCTGTGTAAGGTAAGGATGAGAAAATCAGGGAGGTAGGAGAGAAAATGAGTGGGACTGACTCCTGTTTGGGGAGGAGACAAGGGCGGAGACAGGGAGGAGGGGAGAGAGGAGAGGGGGTGGCTGAGCCCGGCAGGTGCAGAGAAGGGGCATCAGCACCAGTCCCACACACAGACTGCTGGCTGGCTGCTGCTGGCACTGAGCCCTGCACCCAAACCCCACAGGCTGCCAAACAAACTCCTGCGGCCCAGTTTTCCCACGGCACAGCCTCAGGTGTCCCATTCCTGGGAAAAGCCATTTAATAGAGGAGCAGGGCAGCAACAGGAGCAGCTGGAGCGGGGAGTCCTGGAGCCACGAGGGCCGTGGAGGTGCTGGAGGATGCCCACCCTGAGCTGCTGCTGCCCAGCCAGGCGTGTCCCCTCTGCACCGAGGTGCTGCCCCTGGGGCTGCCGGGACCCCCCATCCCTCCTGCTCCCGCCGTGCCCTCGAGCGGGGAGGTTGGACCAGTCGACCCGCTGTGGTCCCTTCCAGCCTGACCCATCTGTGACCGCCACGGCCTGTCGGGACTCCAGCAGCTGTAGCAGTACTACAGTAGCTGTACAAGTACAAGCTGTAGTACAAGTACAAGCTGTAGTACAAGTACAAGCTGTAGTACAGGTACAAGCTGTAGTACAAGTACAAGCTGTAGTACAAGTACAAGCTGTAGTACAACTCCTGCGCGCAGACGACAGCGGTTGTAGTCCAGTGCGCTGTGCCGGACCACAACTCCCAGCATGCCCCGCGGAGCAGCGGTCATGTGATTTCCCTTTGTCCCACGCCGGGCGGGAGGGACCGGGACCGCCCCGGGTGCGCGGGTCCAGCGGAGGCACTGCTGGGACATCATCCACCGGGACACAGCCGGGACACTACCGGGGCACCGCCCCGACGGCACCGGGATAGCGTCGGGCACTGCCGGGATACTACCGGGATAGCGTTGGGCACCACCAGGCACCGCCGGGACATCGCCGGGCACTACCGGGACATCACCGGGACAGCGCCGGGCACCACCAGGCAGCGCCGGGATAGCGCCGGGGCATCGCCGGGACAGCGCCGGGACATCACCGGGACAGCGCCGGGGCATCGCCGGGCACTACCGGGACATCACCGGGACAGCGCCGGGGCATCGCCGGGCACTACCGGGACATCACCGGGACAGCGCCGGGCACCACCAGGCATCGCCGGGCACTACCGGGACAGCGCCGGGACACCGGGACATCACCGGGACACCACCAGGCAGCACCGGGAACCCACCGGCCATCAGCGGGACATCACCCGGACACCGCCGAGCCACTACTGGGCACCCCGGGACACCCCCCAGTGCAGCCGCCATGGCCCCGCGGGGCCGGGACCGCCCGTGGGCGCTGCCGCCGCTGCTGCCGCTGCTGCCGCTGCTCCTCCCGCCGGCCTCGGCCGCCGCCCGGCCCAACTTCGTCCTAGTGCTGGCGGACGACCTGGGCTTCGGGGACCTGGGCAGCTACGGGCACCCTTCCTCGGCCACGCCGCATCTGGACGGGCTGGCGGCCCGCGGGCTGCGCTTCACGGACTTCTACAGCAGCGCCGCCGTCTGCAGCCCCTCCCGGTACGGCCCCGGAGCGCCGCGAGGGGAGCGGCCCGCCCTGCTCTCACCTGGGCGGCCCCACCTGCAATACTGGGGCGGTTTGGGGCAGTATAAGGAAGAGACTGAGCCATTGGAGAGTGTCCAAAGGAGGGCAAGGAGAGTGGGGAAGGGCTTTGACTGAAAGCTGTGTGAGGACACTGAGGGCACTTGGGGTGTTCAGCTGGAGAAGAGGGGACTGAGGGGAGACCTCACTGCAGTTCCAACTACCTGGGCAGGGGCAGAGGAGGGGCAGGGACTGAGCTCTGCTCTGGGGGGACCAGGGACAGCACCCAGGGAACAGCTGGAGCTGTGTCAGGGCAGGGTCAGGTTGGATCTCAGGATAAGGTTCTTCCCCCAGAGGCTGCTTGGGCACTGCCCAGGCTCCCCAGGGCAGTGGGTACAACCCCAAGGCTGCCAGAGCTCCAGGAGCTTTTGGATGACCCTCTCAGGCACAGGGTGTGACTCTTGGGCATGGTCCTGTGCAGAGCCAGGGGTTGGACCGGACGATCCTTGTGGGTCCCTTCCCAGTCAGCATATCCTGTGACTCCGTAATCCCAGCAGGGAGTGTCCATGGCGGGAGGGACGGGCAGTGGACAAACCTGACGGTGTGACAGTCCAGGCTGACAGGAGTCTCCTCCCCTGCAGGGCAGCCCTGCTGACGGGCCGGTTCCAGGTGCGCTCCGGGATCTATCCCGGCGTGTTCGACCCGGGCTCGCGGGGGGGGCTCCCGCTCTCCGAGGTCACCATCGCAGAGGTGCTGAAGGCTCAGGGCTACGCCACGGCCATGGTGGGCAAGTGGCACCTGGGCGTGGGGGTCAATGGCTCCTTCCTGCCCACGCACCAGGGGTTTGACCACTTCCTGGGGGTGCCCTACTCCCATGACCAGGTGAGGGGAGTGGTGAGCCCTGCTGCGTGGGGACGTGTGTCCCTTGTGGTGGGACAGGGTGGGTGGGTCACCTTCTGGGCTACAAAACAGTTGCTGCCAGGAGAAAATGCTGTCGGGGCAGCACAGTTCTGGGACAGTTTTGGGGTGGGAAAAGACCTCTGGGCTTCTGGGAGTGGCCACTCGAAGGGTGCTCATCATGGTGGGTCGCCCTGAGACTCTTTGCTCCTCTTCCTTCCCTTCCCTGTCCTGCAATGCAGTTCAGGTCCCAAGTTCTGTGTCCTCTCCAGGGCCCCTGCCAGAATCTCACCTGCTTCCCACCCGACATCAAGTGTTTTGGGACCTGTGACCAGGGTGTGGTGCCGCTCCCACTGCTCTGGAACCAGACCATCATCCAGCAGCCCGTGTCCTTCCCTGACCTGGTGCCACTCTACAATAAATTCTCCCGGAACTTCATCACTTACTGTGCCCAACGGGGCCTCCCCTTCCTGCTCTACTACGCCTCCCATGTAAGAGAGGGGTGGGGAAGGGAAGGGACCCTCTGTCCCGTGGGGAGAGCAGGGGAGCACCTCCACTCCTGCAGCCCCAGAACCTGCACCCCAGTGACCTGGGATTGCTGTTCCCACACAGAGCTGGGTCTTGTGGGATAATGCTTTGGGGGTGCTTCTTTCTGGAGCTTTGCCCACTTCTCTGGGCCATCCACTGGGGAGAACTTCCCACTCTGGGGTTCCACGTCCTGTCCTGGGCTCAGCTGCTTTGTGCCGTTGCTGAGAGGTGCTTGGGGACAAGTGTCCTCTCAGCTCATGGGTGTTGTCACCTCTCTCCATGTCCTCGCTGAGGTGCTGCCTGTTCCTGCTGGGAGCTGTGGGGGCTGATTCCCACCCTCTCTGCCTTTCCCCAGCACACCCACTACCCCCAGTTTGCCAGCCAGGAGTACGCGGGGCGGTCCCGGCGGGGCCCCTTCGGGGACGCGCTGGCGGAGTTCGACGGCTCCGTGGGACAGTTGCTGCAGGCCCTGCAGGAGAACGGCCTGGAGAACAACACCCTGGTGTTCTTCACCTCTGACAACGGGTCAGTGGGCTCGGCAGAGGGGGCTTTGCCACTGCCGTGGGATGGGGGATAAGGCAGCGGTGGGGTCGTGGGGTGGCACTGCCAGGCGAGACCCCAGGGACATGAGGTGGGGCAGGAGGTACCCAGTGCACGATCTCTTCTGTGTCCCTGTGACCCAGCTGGGCCAGAAACCTCACAGGGGTCAGGCCAGGAGTGGCAGCAGCCCAAATATCCCCCGATTCCCTTCGTGTGTGGGTGACACTGGCCTCTGGTGCCCTGCTCAGAGGGCAAGGTGTGTCCCACACACCTTGGCTTCTGCACCTGCCCCGTAAGGCTGAGCAGGGTGGCACCAGGTCTCGCTGGTCATGGCCCCGTTGGCAGCACCAGGGGAGGGGCAGTGGGAACCCGTGGCCCTGATGGCAGGTGGTTCTTGTCTCCCAGCCCCTCCACCATGCGGATGGCACGAGGAGGCAGCTCCGGCCACCTGAAGTGTGGCAAGGGCACGACGTACGAAGGTGGCATGAGGGAACCAGCGGTGGCTTATTGGCCAGGCCGGATCGCCCCAGGTGAGCCTTGGCACTGCCTGTGCCAGCCCAGGCAACTCAGCCATCCCAGGTGGGATTGAAGTGGGGATGGCCGGGATGGGAGTGGGATCAGGGGCTTGAACTTTTCCTTGTGCCAGGAGTGACGCACGAGCTGGCAAGCACCCTGGACATCCTGCCAACACTGACTGCCCTGGCTGGAGCAACCCTTCCCAGAGTGGCCCTGGATGGCTATGACATGAGCCCAGTGCTGTTTGGGACAGGGAAGGTGAGTCCTGGGGGCTGGCTCGGCTGGCCTTGGGCAGGGAGGCTGCTGGAGCCACGTGCCTGAGGAGCAGAACCAGCTGGGATCGGGGGAGATCCATGGGCTGGCACCTTTTGTCCCGTGGACTTGCTGGGTGTCCCCAGGCTGGCAGGAGCTGTGAGCAGGGAGCCAACAAGACGCTTCTGTTCATCACCCGCCCTCCTCCCCAGCCTCACTCAGGCTGTGGGATCAGGGCTGCTCTGGGAATCCCTGGAGTGTCTGGTGCTGTTCCAGGCTCTCCTCCAGCCGGGTGGCTGCACAGGAGAGCTGAGCTCTGCTGCCTCCCCAGAGTCCCCGACAGACCATGTTCTTCTACCCTCCGGCCCCCGACCCCCTGCACGGCCCCTTCGCCGTCCGCCTCGGGAAGTACAAGGCTCATTACTTCACCCAAGGTCAGCGCTGCCCCTTCCCCCGGCACGGCGGCTTTGGGAAGGGCCGGGGAGCTCAGGAGGAGGAGCTGAGCTCACCCGGGGGGTGTTTTGCAGGTTCCTTTCACAGCGGCACGACCCCAGACCAGGCCTGCCACGGGCTGACCCCGCTGACCCCCCACCTGCCCCCGCTGCTCTTCGACCTGGAGTCGGACCCCGCCGAGAACTACGACCTGCTCCAGGGCGGGGCAGGGCCCGAGGTGCTGCAGGTCCTCAGGGAGATCACCCTGCAGAAAGTCCTCCTGGAGCAGCGCATGGAGTTCGGGGAGAGCCAGATCAGGAAGGGCCGGGATCCCGCCCTGCAGCCCTGCTGTGCACCCAACTGCACCCCCAAACCCTCCTGCTGCCGCTGCTCCCAGCCCGGGGCTGCCCCACACTGACACCCCAAACCCACCAGACCCCCCAGCCCAACTAACCCAGCTCAGCCTTAGAGCTGCCCCACGGCCCCAGCTCGGGCACCCCTTGGACTAAGGGGGTGCTGGGAAGGCAAACGGGGGGTCGGGGAGACCCCCAACCCTGCCGGGAATGCGGGACAGGGCCTGTGCTCCATGTGGGATGTTCAGCCTTTGACAGGAGTGTGACACTTCCTGGGAGGGACCAGCATCTTCTCCAGAGCCACCACAGCTCCTTGGAGGTGGATCTCACAGGATCCAAGAGGAGCAGAGGGCACGTCCCGGATCCAGAGATCCCTCCTGGGCTGGAGGGTGGGATGGGGGGTCCCGGCAGCCCCAGGGGCAGCACCTTGGTGCAGAGGGGACACGCCTGGCTGGGCAGCAGCAGCTCAGGGTGGGCATCCTCCAGCACCTCCATGGCCCTCGCGGCTCCAGGACTCCCCGCTCCAGCTGCTCCTGTTGCTGCCCCGCTCCTTTAGGAAATGGCTTTTCCCAGGAATGGGACACCTGACGCTGTGCCGTGGGAAAACTGGGCTGCAGGAGTTTGTTTGGCAGCCTGTGGGGTTTGGGTGCAGGGCTCAGTGCCAGCAGCAGCCAGCCAGCAGTCTGTGTGTGGGACTGGTGCTGATGCCCCTTCTCTGCACCTGCCGGGCTCAGCCACCCCCTCCCCTCTCTCTGCTCCTCCCTGTCTCCGCCCTTGTCTCCTCCCCAAACAGGGGCCAACCCCACTCACTTCCCCACCATCACTCCTGCCTCCCAGATTGTTGGGTCCTTACCTTACACAGGAGACTGAATTGGGCTGAAAACAAGGTTAATGGGTGTCATAGTTTTGGTCAGAACAAAGAAAACAAGGTGGGGAACAGCAGGTTGGTATTTGTTTGTTTTCATGGGCTTTCCATGTAAATCATTTCTTTGTGATTAATATTGTTGCTGATACTGTTCATTTTCTTATCTCATTGAAGTTTCCAGTAAACTGTTCTAATCCCAACCCGTAATCTTTGCCTTTTGTGCTTCCAGTTGGATGGTGAGGGGGAGGGAGTGGCAGCAGGGTTTTATTGGGGCTGCTAAACTGGAGAACACCATTCCCAAACCATGACAGTGGGGAATACAAACTACTTTATTTCAAGGATTAAATCGACCTGAGCATCACAGCGGGCTCAGGGGATGAATATGGGCAGCACAGAGCAGCCCTGGGCACTGGGGCTGCCTTTGGCCCTGCAGTCGTGGCCCCAACAGGGACAGGTTGTAATCCACTGCAGCCAGGACTGGATCTGCTCACCCTTCTGGTCAAGACGTTTTGTCCCTCAGGAACACCAAGATATCCTCCAGCTTCCCAAGGAATTCCAGCACAGTCTGTTTTGCTAATGAAACGGCTGCAAGCCTGCCCAGTTCCTTGGCTGGAATGGAGCCTGAGGTGGAGTTTGGCTTTGGCGTTGGAGCAGCAGGTTCTGCTGGGCTCAGGCCTGTCTGGAGCAGGATCCAGTCGTGGAATTGCTGGGTGGAGGTGAAGATCCCGGGTCGTTTGGCCCCAGCACAGCCTTTTCCCCAGCTGGTCATTCCCACGAACCAGAAGTAGTCGGCTCTCTTGTCCTTGCAGACCAGGGGACCCCCGCTGTCCCCCTGCAGCAGGAGAGAGGGCTCAGGGTTTGTGGGGGGCTGCTGCAGCAGCAGGGCTGGCTCCTCTCTCCCAGCCCCTGCCAGAGTCACATTCCCAGCATGGGGAGGCTCTGCCTGGGGGCTGGAGCCTCCAGAGCCTCGGCTGGGAGCAGGTTGAGGGCCTGTTAATATTGGGTTCTCTCTCATCCCAGCACAGTGACCAGGGATGTGCAGAGAACGGATGTTCCAGGATCAAATCTGCACCTTGGCGCTGCCAGGAGCACTGGATGGGATTTGAGGTAAGAGTACCAGGCCTTGGGGACAGGGGGACATGGGACAGGGACCTGTGGATAGGGAAGGGGAGGGCAGCCCTGGGATAGGGGACATGGGACAGGGCAGCCCTGGGATAGGGGACACGGGACAGGGCAGCCCTGGGATATGGGATATGGGACAGGGCAGCCCTGGGATAGGGGACATGGGACAGGGCAGCCTGGGATTCGTGGGACATGGTACAGCCGCCCTAGGGATAGGGGACAGGGGAACGAACCGTCCTGGGAAGGTGACATGATGACAGGAACCGTGCCTGGGATAGGGGATTGTACCGACAGCCCTGGGATAGGGGAAAGGGGACATGGGACAGGGCAGCCCTGGGATAGGGGACATGGGACAGGGCAGCCCTGGGATAGGGGACATGGGACAGGGCAGCCCTGGCAGCGATGGGGACCCAGGGCTGGGAGGGCGCCGGGCCAGGCCCAGCCCGTGCCATGTTTGGGGTCAGGGGGTCCCTGTGCTGGCAGGTCTGAGGGACTGGTGCCACGCTCCCACCTGGCAGGTGTCGATGCCGCCCCGCGGGTACCCAGCGCACAGGTCGTGGGGGTGCACGGCCCCCCCGTACCAGCGGCTGCTGTTGCAGAGCTGCACATCGATGAGCCGCACCTTGGCCTCCTGCAGCACCAGGCGTGGTCTGAGAGCTGGAGCACAGAGGGCAATGAGCCCCCGCAGCTCGGGCCTTGGTGCCCTGCCCTGGCTGGGGGCAGCCTTGGAGCAGCGCTGTCCCGCTGGGGCCCTGCTGTTGGCTCTGGGCCAGGGCCAGGCCCCTCTGTGCCGGGGCTCACGTCCTGCAGCCTGGCTCTGGCTTTGGCCTCTGCTCTTGGGAAGCCCAGCCTGTGTCCCTGATGCCCAACCCGTGTCCCCAGGATGCCCAACCCATGTCCCCAGGGTGCCCATCTTGCCCTCAGTGGCCACGTCCCGTTTGGGAACTCACCACTCTCTGCAGTGGGACCCCATCCTGCGATGTAGCAGGTTTTCAGGTCTGACACTCTCAACGAGGCCTTGGGCACACAGCCCAGCTGGATGTAATCGCTGCACTCCACGGGCTGGTCCAGCTCCAGCAGGGCGATGTTGTTCCTCTCTGAGCCAGCCTTGTAGTGCTGGTGAATCAGGATCCTCTTGATTGGGTGCACCATGGCCCCGGGGCCCAGCTCAGACAGATTGGTGGCCCCGACCACCACGTCCCACTTGATGACGTTCCTGGGAGGCAGATTGAGAGAGGGTTGACAGGGAGCAGAGCCACAGGCTGCAGCACCTCAGCATTTCCCAGCCTTCTGCTTCCCAAGGCTGACAGTGAAGCACAGAGCAGAGAGGGACTAGCACGTGGTGCTGCAGGCTGGGCACCTGCCCGAGCTGTGGGGACATCCCTGTCCCTGCCCCTCCTTACCCAGCCCCGATGAAGCAGCGGGCAACTGTGAGGACCCACTTGGGGTGGATGAGGGCCCCTGCACACATGTGCCATGTGCCATTCTTCCAAGTGACCTGGATGCTGGCGATGCCGGGCCAGGCCCCCGGATGGACACCGGAACCAGGTGCTGTGTCACTGGAAGATTCCAGGGGTCCGTAGACAGGAGGAACAGAGCTTTGGTCGGAAGCCATGGGCCGGAGCCCGCAGGTCCCTCTGGAAGCACAAAGCCATCACTGCCCTGCCCAGGGGCCACTCAGGTCCCCTGTTGTCCCCCCACACTGCGCTGAGGGGCAGCAGGGCCAGGGACCCCCGAGGGCACGTCTGTGCCCCCGTTCTGCTGGGAACCCCCCCAGTGTTCCCGAGCTCCCTCCCACGTCCCGGGGCCACTGACCTGCAGGTGTCCCAGTTGCCACCCACGGGCCCAGCCAGGGCCAGCAGGACCAGGAGCCACAGCCAAGCCATGGGTGGCAGCGCACGTGGCAGTGACAGGACCGAGGGGTCACCTCGAGCGTTGTGCCCACAGCACCCACAGTGCCCCCGGGCCGGGGCTGATGTCACAGAGGGGATGGTTCTGGTGTGCTGGGCACGGTGGCCTCGGGAAGGGGGGAGAGGGAAAGCATGGAGTCACAGAACCATGGAATGCTTTGTTGGAAGAGACCTTAAAGATCCAGGAGGAGCTGAGGGCATATCCTGGATCCGGAGATCCCCCTGGGCTGGGGCCCAGCAGTGCCCCTGGGTGGGAGCAGAGCTGGGGCTGCAGCACCAGCACTACCAGGGCCGAGGGCACAGCGGGAGCAGGTGGGATGGGGGGTCCCGGCAGCCCCAGGGGCAGCACCTCGGTGCAGAGGGGACACGCCTGGCTGGGCAGCAGCAGCTCAGGGTGGGCATCCTCCAGCACCTCCACGGCCCTCGTGGCTCCAGGACTCCCCGCTCCAGCTGCTCCTGTTGCTGCCCCACTCCTTTATCAAATGGCTTTTCCCAGGAATGGGGCACCTGAGGCTGTGCCGTGGGAAAACTGGGCTGCAGGAGTTTGTTTGGCAGCCTGTGGGGTTTGGGTGCAGGGCTCAGTGCCAGCAGCAGCCAGCCAGCAGTCTGTGTGTGGGACTGGTGCTGATGCCCCTTCTCTGCACCTGCTGGGCTCAGCCACCCCCTCCCCTCTCTCCCCTCCTCCCTATCTCTGCTCTTGTCTCCTCCCCAAACAGGGGCCAACCCCACTCACTTTTCCCTCCAGGCTCCCAGGTTGTCCTGTCCTTACCTTGCCTGGGCTGAAAACAAGGTTAATGAGGAACACAAACAACTTTATTTCAATAAGACACTAAACTTCACCATCAGGGTGGGCTCAGGGGAGGAGTGTGGGCAGGACAGAGCAGCCCTGGGCACCAGGGCTGCTTTTGGCCCCACAGTCGTGGCCTCAACAGGGAATGGTCTTGGTCCACTGCAGCCAGGGCAGGATCTGCTCATCCTTCTGATCAATCCATTTCATCCTTTAGGAAATCCAAGAGCTCCTCCAGCTTATCAAGGAATTCCCGCAGGGTCGCTTTGGGGAATTTAATGACCGCAAGCGAGTCCGAGGCCTTTACTGTTGGCACCTGGATGGTGGTCCGGGTGGTGTCTGGCCGTAGAGATGGACCAGCTGTTACTGCTGGGAGCAATCCCATCTGGATCAGGATCCAGTCATGGAAGTGTTGAATGGCGGTGAAGATCCCAAATCGTTTGGCCCCAGCACAGCCTTTTCCCCAGCTGGTCATTCCCACCAGCCAGAAGTAGTCGCCTTTGCTGTCCTTGCAGACCAGGGGACCCCCGCTGTCCCCCTGTGACAGGAGAGAGGGTTCAGGGTTTGTGGGGGCTGCTGCAACACTAAGACTGTTACAGGATCACATCTGCACCAGGAGCACTGGATGGGCTTTGTCCCAATGCCTTGGGGACAAGGGGACACTGGACAAGGAGCCAAGGAAGGGGAAGGGGAGGGCAGCCCTGGGGTATGGGACAGGGATCCATGGATGGGGGAGGGGAGGGCAGCCCTGGGATAGGGGACATGGGACAGGGCAGCCCTGGGATAAGGGGACATGGGACAGGGTGGCCCTGGGATATGGGACATGGGACAGGACAGCCCTGGGATAGGGGACATGGGACAGGAACCTTCCTGGGATAGGGGACATGAGACAGGAACCTTCCTGGGATAGGGGACATGGGACAGGACAGCCCTGGGATAGGGGAAAGGGGACATGGGACAGGGCAGCCCTGGGATAGGGGACATGGGACAGGGCAGCCCTGGCAGCGATGGGGACCCAGGGCTGGGAGGGCGCCGGGCCAGGCCCAGCCCGTGCCATGTTTGGGGTCAGGGGGTCCCTGTGCTGGCAGGTCTGAGGGACTGGTGCCACGCTCCCACCTGGCAGGTGTCGATGCCGCCCCGCGGGTACCCAGCGCACAGGTCGTGGGGGTGCACGGCCCCCCCGTACCAGCGGCTGCTGTTGCAGAGCTGCACATCGATGAGCCGCACCTTGGCCTCCTGCAGCACCAGGCGTGGTCTGAGAGCTGGAGCACAGAGGGCAATGAGCCCCCGCAGCTCGGGCCTTGGTGCCCTGCCCTGGCTGGGGGCAGCCTTGGAGCAGCGCTGTCCCGCTGGGGCCCTGCTGTTGGCTCTGGGCCAGGGCCAGGCCCCTCTGTGCCGGGGCTCATGTCCTGCAGCCTGGCTCTGGCTTTGGCCAAAGCCAAACCTGTGTCCCCAGGCTCGACCTCAATGCCCATGTCCTATTTGGGAACTCACCTTTTTTGGTGGTGGGACCCCATCCAGCGATGTAGCAGGTTTTCAGGTCTGACACTACCAGTGAGGTGTCAGGCACACAGCCCAGCTGGATGTAGTCATTGCACTCCAGACGCTTATCCAGCTCCAGCAGGGCGATGTTGTTCTTTGCCGTGGCAGCCACGTAGCGCTGGTGCACCAGGAGCCTCCGGATGTGCCGCACCTGAGTCCCACGGCTCGGCTGGCTCAGATCGGTGGCCCCAAGCACCACCTCCCATTTGGAGATATTCCTGGGGGACACAAGGACAGAGTGGTGAGAGGGAGCAGAGCCAGGGGCTGGGGCAGCCCAGCCCTTCCCTTCCCAGACTGGGCACGTGCCCGAGCTGTGGGGACATCCCTGTCCCTGCCCCTCCTTACTTGGCCCTGTAGAAGCAGTGGGCGACTGTGAGGACCCACTTGGGGTTGATGAGGGCCCCTGCACACATGTGCCACGTGCCATTTGCCCAGGTGGCCTGGATGCTGACGATGCCAGGCCAGGTCCCGGGTGCGACATCGTTGCCACGCACGGTGCCACCAGAAGAATCCACGGCTCCATAGTTGGCATCTGTGTCGTAGTCGGGCAGCAGGGAGTTGTGGTCGGAAGCCATGGGCCGGAGCCCGCAGGTCCCTCTGGAAGCACAAAGCCATCACTGCCCTGCCCAGGGGCCACTCAGGTCCCCTGTTGTCCCCCCACACTGCGCTGAGGGGCAGCAGGGCCAGGGACCCCCGAGGGCACGTCTGTGCCCCCGTTCTGCTGGGAACCCCCCCAGTGTTCCCGAGCTCCCTCCCACGTCCCGGGGCCACTTACCCACAGCTGTCCCAGTTGCCACTCACGGGCCTGGCCAGGGCCAGCAGGACCAGTAGCCACAGCCAAGCCATGGGTGGCAGTGCCAGGAGCAGGGGGTCACCTCCAGCACAGCCACCAGTGCAGCCCCCACGGCCCTGCCGGTGCCCCCGGGCCGGGGCTGATGTCACAGAGGGGCCGGTTCCATGGGCTGGGCGTGGTGGCCTCGGGAGAGGGGTTCAGGTAGGTAGGTGGTGCAACATGTGTTGTACATAATACAAATATCACAGTGTCATATATATTTACATTTTTTAATATTACAGTTACCTATTATATTTTTATTACATACAGAGTATACAGTAAACATGCAGTTCTATGTACAGCTTATGTGTTATATACAGATTAGTCAACAGTAACAGGTTCTGATATGATATAATCTATTAAAAGAATATATGCTGAAATTATATAATATAATGGAATTGGAATTAGAATAGATCAGAAGAATATTATATCACTTTCTATCTACTATAAGTCACTACGAATTAGCACTGGGAATGCAAGTATATATTTTACAAGAACAAATTAAATGTATGCATATTACAAGCTATTACAACCATTACATAATTCCAGCTGGGAAATGGTCATGGGCCACTGCAGCCAGAGCTGGAGCTGCTCATCCTGCTGCTCAAGCCATTTTACCCCCCAGGCACTGCAGGAGCCTCTGCAGCAGGTTAAAGACCTTCCTGGGGATCTGGAGTGGGAATGGATTGGCCGTATCCCAGACTGGCCCTGGATGGCTGGGGCCGGAGCCCGGTGCTATTTGAGCTGGGAAAGGTGAGTCCTGGGGGCTGGCTCGGCCAGCCTGGGGCAGGGAGGCTGCTGTGGGGCTGGAGCCGTGTGCCTGAGGAGCAGAACCAGCTGGGATCGGGGGAGATCCGTGGGCTGGGACCTTGTGTCTCGCTTGGCTCATGCCATGGAGCTCCTGGGCTGCAGGATCAGGGCTCCTGTGATGCCTCCCTGGAGCCTGGGCCTGGGCCTGTTCCAGGCTCTCCCTCAGCCACAGCTGCACAGGGACACACTGACACCCCAAACCCACCAGACCCCCCAGCCCAACTAACCAAGCTCAGCCTTAGAGCTGCCCCACGGCCCCAGCTCGGGCACCCCTTGGACTAACGGGGTGCTGGGAAGGCAAATGGGGGTCAGGGAGACCCCCAACCCTGTCAGGAGTGTGGGGCAGGGCCTGCGCTCCGTGTGGGATGTTCAGCCTTTGACGGGAGCTGTGACACATCCCAGGAGGGACCAGGCTCCAGCAGCTTCTCCAGAGCCACCACAGCTCCTTGGAGGTGGATCTCACAGGATCCAGGAGGAGCAGAGGGCACGTCCTGGATCCAGAGATCCCCCCTGGGCTGGAGGGTGGGATGGGGGGTCCCGGCAGCCCCAGGGGCAGCACCTTGGTGCAGAGGGGACACGCCTGGCTGGGCAGCAGCAGCTCAGGGTGGGCATCCTCCAGCACCTCCATGGCCCTCGCGGCTCCAGGACTCCCCGCTCCAGCTGCTCCTGTTGCTGCCCCGCTCCTTTAGGAAATGGCTTTTCCCAGGAATGGGACACCTGAGGCTGTGCCGTGGGAAAGCTGGGCCGCAGGAGTTTGTTTGGCAGCCTGTGGGGTTTGGGTGCAGGGCTCAGTGCCAGCAGCAGCCAGCCAGCAGTCTGTGTGTGGGACTGGTGCTGATGCCCCTTCCCCTCCCCTCTCTCCCCTCCTCCCTGTCTCCGCCCTTGTCTCCTCCAAAAGCAGGGGCCAATCCTGCTTATTTTCTCTCCTGCCTCCTCGATTTTCTCATCCTTACCTTACACAGGAGACTGAATTGGGCTGAAAACAAGGTAAATGGGGAACACAAACAACTTTATTTCAGTAGGACACTAAACTTCACCATCAGGGTGGGCTCAGGGGAGGAGCATGGGCAGGACAGCAGCCCTGGGCACCAGGGCTGCCTTTGACCCCACAGTTGTGGCCCCAACAGGGAATGGTCTTAGTCCACTGCAGCCAGAACTGGATCTGCTCATCCTTCTGATCAATCCATTTTGGCCCTTAGGAACTGCAGGAGCTCCAGGAGCAGGTTGAAGAATTGCCCCAGTATCTGCTGTTGGATTGAAATGGCTGTAAAATTTCCCAGTTCCATTGGCATCAGTGTCTCCATAGATGTCAGGATGGACTCTGGCTCTGGATTCTGCTCAGGAGTCGAGGTAGTGGTTGGTTCTGGCGTTGGAATGGCTGTTACTACTGGGAGCAATCCCATCTGGATCAGGATCCAGTTGTGGAATTCCTGGGTGGAGGTGAAGATCCCGGGTCGTTTGGCCCCAGCACAGCCTTTTCCCCAGCTGGTCATTCCCACGAACCAGAAGTAGTCGGCTCTCATGTCCTTGCAGACCAGGGGACCCCCGCTGTCCCCCTGCAGCAGGAGAGAGGGCTCAGGGTTTGTGGGGGGCTGCTGCAGCAGCAGGACTGGCTCCTCTCTCCCAGCCCCTGCCAGAGCCACATTCCCAGCATGGGAAGGCTCTGCCTGGGAGCTGGAGCCTCCAGAGCCTCGGCTGGGAGCAGGTTGGGGTTTTTTTAAGTTGAGGCTCTCTCCCATCTCAGCACAGTGAGCAGGGATGTGCAGAGCCCTGGGAGATGGGACAGGGACCCGAGGATGGGGAAGGGGAGGGAGCTCTGGGATAGGGGATGTGGGACAGGGACCTTTCTGGGACAGAGGACATGGGACAGGGCAGCCCTGGGATAGGGGACAGGGACCCACGGATAGGAAAGGGGAAGGCAGCCCTGGGATAGGGGACATGGGACAGGGCAGCCCTGGGATAGGGGACACGGGACAGGGCAGCCCTGGGATAGGGGACATGGGACAGGGCAGCCCTGGCAGCGATGGGGACCCGAGGGGACCCAGGCCCAGCCCGTGCCATGTTTGGGGTCAGGGGGTCCCTGTGCTGGCAGGTCTGAGGGACTGGTGCCACGCTCCCACCTGGCAGGTGTCGATGCCGCCCCGCGGGTACCCAGCGCACAGGTCGTGGGGGTGCACGGCCCCCCCGTACCAGCGGCTGCTGTTGCAGAGCTGCACATCGATGAGCCGCACCTTGGCCTCCTGCAGCACCAGGCGTGGTCTGAGAGCTGGAGCACAGAGGGCAATGAGCCCCCGCAGCTCGGGCCTTGGTGCCCTGCCCTGGCTGGGGGCAGCCTTGGAGCAGCGCTGTCCCGCTGGGGCCCTGCTGTTGGCTCTGGGCCAGGGCCAGGCCCCTCTGTGCCGGGGCTCATGTCCTGCAGCCTGGCTCTGGCTTTGGCCTCTGCTCTTGGGAAGCCCAGCCCGTGTCCCCAAGCTCAGCCTCAGTGCCCACGTCCTGTTTGGGAACTCACCACTATCCAAGGTGGTTCTCCAGCCCGCGATGTAGCAGGTTTTCATCTGTGACACGCTCAGGGGAGTGTTGGGCACACAGCCCAGCTGGATGTAGTCGCTGCACTCCACGGGCTCGTCCAGCTCCAGCAGGGCGATGTTGTTCCTTGCCAAGGCAGGTGCATAGTGCTGGTGCACCAGGAGCCTCTGGATGCGGTGCAACTCTGCCTCGGGGCCCAGCTCGGTCAGATCAGTGGCCCCAAGCACCACCTCCCATTTGGAGACATCCCTTGGGGCAGATGGAGAGAGGACTGAGAGGGAGCAGAGCCAGAGGCTGGGGCAGCCCAGCCCTTCCCTTCCCAGACTGGGCACGTGCCCAAGCTGTGGGGACATCCCTGTCCCTGCCCCTCCTTACCCAACCCCGAAGAAGCAGTGGGCGACCGTGAGGACCCACTTGGGGTGGATGAGGGCCCCTGCACACATGTGCCATGTGCCGTTCTCCCAGCTGGCCTGGATGCTGACGATGCCAGGCCAGGCCCCTGAACGGACAGTGACTCCCCCTGTTCCCCATGCGGTGCCGTCGGAAGACTCCAAAGGTCCATCGGCAGCATCTGCGGGGTCGTAGTCGGGCAGCAGGGAGTTGTGGTCGGAAGCCATGGGCCGGAGCCCGCAGGTCCCTCTGGAAGCACAGAGCCATCACTGCCCTGCCCAGGGGCCGCTCAGGTCCCCTGTTGTCCCCCCACACTGCTCTGAGGGGCAGCAGGGCCAGGGACCCCCGAGGGCACGTCTGTGCCCCCGTTCTGCTGGGAACCCCCCCAGTGTTCCCGAGCTCCCTCCCACGTCCCAGGGCCACTGACCCGCAGGTGTCCCAGGTGCCACCCACGGGCCTGACCAGGGCCAGCAGGACCAGGAGCCACAGCCAAGCCATGGGTGGCAGTGCCAGGAGCGGGGGGTCGCCTCCAGTGCTGCCCCCACGGCCCTGCTGGTGCCCCCAGGCCGGGGCTGATGTCACAGAGGGGCCGGTTCCGTGGGCTGGGCATGGTGACCTTGGGATGGGGGGAGAGGGCCAGCACGGAGTCATAGACCCCTGGAATGGTTTGGGTTGGAAAGGACCTCAATGACCACCCAGTGCCACCCCCTGCCGTGGCAGGGACACCTTCCTCTAGCCCAGGTGGCTCCGAGCTGGCCTTGAACTGGTGGCACCTCGAAATCAAATGTAGGATTTGATGTCTCCATAATACAATTAATCATTAGCACTCCTGTTGCTTCATTAGTTGTAATTTGGAATAGCTAATCATAGTCAGTATCTGTTTGATTTGCTGGTAGTAAGCTTATAGTAGCTCATAGCAGCTTCTACTGCCCTCTGGCTTTACTCAACACAAGCAAATAGTAATTTATAGGTATCTGCTGTAAAAAATTACAGATTATTAATAGTAATGTTTTATAATTAATAACCTCTATTTTTACTATTGATCTTATTACTTATATTGTTACTATTAGTATGTGTTGTTGCCACGAGCATCACAATATTAACTACCACTGATATTAATACAACGCTGTATTAGCACAACAATATGTATAATTATCGTCTGTTTGTAATTTATTAATATTGATATGTGTTACTAATAACAATTTGTGTTGTAATATTACCATAGTCTTATTACTCACAATGTATTACTGTTAGTTTGTATTACCACCAGTATTACTATTTTAACTACTACTGATGTTATTACATTAAGATTACTAATGGTAATCTGCACTCTTACTACTAGTTAGTTTGTATTCTTATTATTAGTCTGTGTTATTACCACTAATATCACTATATTAATTACCACCATTAATACTACTCTGTGATTATTAGTAGCAATAATCCACAAATAAACTAATAATCTGTAATTCTTACTCCTACTTCTGGCCTGTGTTAGTAGCACTGATATTATTGTTAGTGATTGCCAGTGCTGACAGTGTTTTATACTACGGTGGCAGAAGGCAATAATGGTCACTAATACCAAAGTAATTTATGGGAATAGTGATTTATAGTCATTTTAATAAGTTCATGGAAACAAAGGCACCAATCCTTGTGCCCGGTGGGATCCACAGCTCTGGAGCTGAACCCCTGGCAGTGAAGGAGGGCTCAAAAAACAAAGTCACTATCTACCCAAACTAGATAATATTTCTTTATTCAATTATAAATCCGTTATATACATTCATGTATTACATCACATTACATAATATCATATGGTATTGTATCATATCATACTATATAATTTCACATTTATGTGAAATGTGTATCATAAAAATGTAAATATTACCTATTTTTGCATCTAATATAAAAGGTACTATTATTGCCTATTTTTATCAATGTCACGTATATTTATGTCACTGCTGGAATTATGCACTGACAAGTAATATACATATATTTGCTTTATTCTTGTAATATATGTAATATTGCTTTCCTAGTGGTAATTTTGTTGTGATCTGTGGCAGACAGAAAGGGATCTAATGGTGTTCTGTTCTAGCCTAATTCCATTACATTATCAAATTATGTTATCACATCCTGTGATTTTATGTTAAGATCCATTTCCTATATAACATGTATTGTATGTAATACAAAACATATGATTATTGTATATTTTGCATATAATCTAAAATTACGGAATTATTACCGATTTGGTGTATGATGTAAAATATTACATACTCTTAACATAATAAAAAATAAACATATACTGTATTTGTACCTTATATGTTAATAAAAACATGATTGATCCTTCCCTTGTGTTTCCTGTTCCGCCTCATTTTGTGGTTCCACGTGCTGAGGGAATCCCCCGGGACCCACAGCTGCACCCATGGGTGGGTGGGGATGGGCACAGCTGGAGGGGGCAGGAGCACAGCTGGATGGGGCAGGGGCACAGCTGGATGGGGTAGAAAGAGTTGGGTGGGGCACATCTGGGTTTGGCAGGGGCACAGCTGGCTGGGGTACAACGAGGTGAGTCACGGCTGGCTGGGGCACAGCTGGATGGGTGGGGCACAGCTGGATGGGTGGGGCACAGCTGGATGGGGCAGGGGCACAGTTGGATGGGGTGGGGGCACAGCTGGATGGGGCAGGGGCACAGTTGGATGGGGTGGGGGCACAGCTGGATGGGTGGGGCACAGCTGGATGGGTGGGGCACAGCTGGATGGGGCAGGGGCACAGTTGGATGGGGTGGGGGCACAGCTGGATGGGGCAGGGGCACAGTTGGATGGGGTGGGGGCACAGCTGGATGGGGCGGGGGCACAGCTGGATGGGTGGGGCCCAGCTGGATGGGTGGGGCTCAGCTGGATGGGTGGGGCCCAGCTGGATGGGTGGGGCTCAGCTGGATGGGGCGGGGGCACAGCTGGATGGGTGGGGCTCAGCTGGGCGGGGCCGGGGCGGCTCCGGGTCTGAGCGCGGCACCGGCGGGCGGGCGGCAGCCGGGAGGCCACGGTGAGGGGCGCGGGGCCGGCCGGGGGATGCCCCCCCAGCCCTCCCCGGACGGTAACGGGGAGGGCGCTGCCGGGGCTCGGAGCATCCCACGGGGGCGGGGGGCTGCTGGCCACCGCCCCGCCCTATACCCCTGCCCTATGGATGCCCAGCCCCCTGCCCTATAGCCGCCCACTTCCTCTGCCCTATAAGCCCCCCAGCCCCTGCCCTGTAGCTGCCCCAGACCCCGGCCCCTGCCCCACAGCTGCCCTAGCCCCCAAACCTATAACTCCCCCGCCCCCTGCCCTATATCTGCTCAGTCCCCTGTCCCTTTACCCCCCCCAGCCCCTGCCCTGTGGGTATCCCAGCCCCCAGCCCCATAACCCCGCCAGCCCCTGCCCTATAGGTGTCCCAGCCCCCGGCCCCTGTCCCACAGCTGCCCCAGCCCCCAGTCCCACAACTGCCCCGACCCCTCCCCTATAAGTGTCCCAGCCCCTGCCCTATGGGTGTCCCAGCCCCCAGCTCCATAACCCCCCCGGCCCCTATAACTGCCCAGCCCCATAACGCCCCAGCCCTCCCTGGATGGGGGGGTGTTGGACGCCCCCGGGGTCTCCTCCCTCGCCGTGGGGGGGCAGGTTTTGGGGTGACCTCCTGCCGCGGGTGACGTGCCCGTGTTCTCCAGGCGCTGCCCGGGCGGTGGGTCCGGATGCCCGCAGGATGGTGCCGGTCCCCGTTGTGGCGCTCTGGGCTCTGCTTCCCCTCCTCACCCGGGCAGGTACCCACCGGCAGCGGGGTGGGGGGTCCGGGCAGACCCCCCCCCTCCCCGGGGATCCCCCCTTTCCACACCCCTTTCCTCCCTTGCATGGGGACAGCAGTGCGGGCACCCCGAAGGCGCCGGGGAGGCTGCGGGCAGGGACACGGGAGGATGTTCCCGGCATGGCGGTGACTCACGGGGCGGCTGCTTTGGCACCACCGAGCCCTTGTTCTTGGCAGGAGCCGACGCTCAACCCCGCTGGCATCACCGGTCTCATCCTCAGCGGTGCCCTCCTGTCCCCGGGATCCCACCCCTCGTCCCGGGGGATGTCCAGCTCCATACCCCCATCCCCCCATCCCCCTCCGGGGTCACTGTGGGGTGACCCCGCTGTCCCCCCCCCGCAGACCAGCCCCCCGTCACTGTCACCGTCACCGCGGCCATCGGCGAGGACGCCTGTCTGCCCTGCAGCCCCCAGCCCTGGGGACACCTGCGCGGGGTCACCCTCAGCTGCACCCACCAGGCCGGCGATCGCCCCCCCGTCCCCGTGCTCAGCCACCGCCTGGGCGGGCACCCGCCCGCGGAGCCCCCAGGCCGCTTCGGGGGCAGGGTCTCCTTCTGTGCCGTGGGGACGGGGGACAGCGGTGTGTCCCTGCTGCTGAGGAACCTCAGCCACCCCGATTTCGGGAATTATTCCTGCTACGTGGCTCGTGATGCTGCCCCGCAGCTCCTCTGCTCCCTGGAGCTGCAGCCCGCCGTGGCAGGTGACTAGGGGGGCGTGGGGGGGGGGGGGTGTGACACTGTCCGGTTTGGGGGTCCCCCTGTGTCCAACCCTGTCCACACCTGGGTAGTGCCTGCTGTTTTCCTGCTCTGAATTTGGGGATCCTCCCCATTCCCTGCTGTGTCTCTCACCTGCTCTTTGTCCTGTTCTGCCTTTGTCCCCATCTGGGTGGTGCCCGTTGTCCCCCACTCTGCACCCCCTGGCAATTGGGGGTTCCCCATTCCCTTATGCATGTATCACCTGCTCCACCCCTGTCTCCATCTGGATGGTCCCCAGTGTCCCCTACTCTGCATCCCCATGGCACATTTAGGGGTCCCTCCCATTCCCTGGCGTGTCCATCACCTGCTCAGTCTCCTGGTCCATCCCTATCCCCCTACCCTGGGTGATGCCAGGTGCCCCTTGTTCTGCACCCCCTGACATGTTTCAGGGTGTCCCCCATTCTCTGATGCATCTGTCACCTGCTCCATCACCTGCTCCAGCCCTGTCCCCATCTGGGTGGTGCCCAGTGTCCCCTACTCTGCACCCCTGGCAGTTTGGGGGTTCCCCATTCCCTTATGCCTGTGTCACCTGCTCCAGCCCTGTCCCCATCTGGGTGGTTCCCAGTGTCCCCCACTCTGCACCCCTGGCAATCTGGGAGTCCCCCATTCCCTGAGGTGTCCATCACCTGTCCCACCTTTGTCCCCATCTGGGAGGTACCCAGTGTCCCCCACTCTGCACCCCTGGCACGTTTAGGGGTCCCTTCCACTCCCTGGCGTGTCCATCACCCACTCAGTCCCCTGTCCGCTCCTGGGTGGTGCCCGGTGCCCCCCGCTCTGCACCCCCTGGCACTTTGGGGTCCCCCAGTCTGGCACGGGGCTGGGAGCGTCAGGGAGGGGTCTGTCTCTCGTCCCCATCCCCCGGTGCTGCTCAGCAGAGGCCCCGGAGGCCGTGGAGCCGGACATGCTGCTGGTGGTGTGTGTGCTCACGGCCACCTTCACCGCCGCCGCCATCGCCGTCCTGCTCTGCACCCGCTGCGGGCGGCGCTGCCGGGGGGGCACAGGTGGGTGCTGGGGGGGGCACAGGTGGGGTGCACAGGTGGGTGGGGGGGCACAGGTGGGTGCTGGGGGGGAAAGGGGCATGCTGGGGGGGCACAGGTGGGTGCTGGGGGGGCACGCGGGGGCACAGGTGGGTGCTGGGGGGGGCACAGGTGGGTGCTGGGGGGGGACAGGGGCATGCTGGGGGGGCACAGGTGGGTGCTGTGGGGGGATGTGGGTGCTGGGGGTGGGAGGATGTCGATGTTGCGGGATGGGGGGCAGCTGGGGACGCCCTGGTCCAGCCGGGGGTGGGCTTCTGGGTGGGGAGGGAGGGGTTTTCCAGCTCCCTTGTGGAGTCAGGATGGGGATGAGAAGGGGATGGGATGAGGATGGGATAGGGATGTGGATGAGGGTGGGATGGGGATGGGATGAGGATAAGGATGGGATTGGGATGGGATGGGGATGAGAGTGAGGATGGGGTGGGGATGAGGGTGGGATGGGATGGGGTGGGATGAGGATGAGGATAAGGATGGGATGGGATGAGGATAAGGATGGGATTGGGATGGGATGGGGATGAGGGTGGGATGGGATGGGATGGGGATGAGGGTGAGGATGGGGATGAGGATGGGATGGGGATAAGGATGAGGATGGGATGGGATAAGGACGAGGGTAAGGATGGGATTGGGATGGGATGGGGATGAGGGTGGGATGGGATGGGGATGAGGATGGGATGGGATAAGGATGAGGGTAAGGATGGGATTGGGATGAGATGGGATGGGGATGAGGGTGGGATGGGATGAGGATGGGATGGGATGAGGGTGAGGATGGGATGGGGTGGAATGAGGACAAGGATGAAGACATGGGTGTAGATGGGGTTGAAGCTGGTGACTGGGATGAGGATGGGGACAGGGATGGAGAGGGGAGCAGCTCTGTGTGGGGACACCAGGGCACTGCCCCTTGCCCTGGGGGGCACAGCCGGGCTGGGGTGCCCACGGGTGGCACCTGGGGGTCCCGTGGCCCCGGCTCACTGTCACCCTCAGCGCGGGGACCAGCCCAGGGCTCCGGAGCTGCGGATGGAGGAGAAGGAGGAGCCGTGGCCTTGGGTGACCTGAAGACTCTCCACACCTGAGGCCACCCCCAGCCCCCGGACAGGTCCATGTGTGACACCGGCACAGGACACGGCCCTGACTGCCCCAAATGGGGGGGCAGGGCTGGGGTGATGCTCTGGGCAGGGGGGCAGGCACAGAGGGGCAGGATGGGTGCCAGGGGGTGGGTGCATGATGGTTTGGTGCAGGGGGCTCTGCTCGGACCCTGAGGGATGGGCAGGGGCAGCTCAAGGTCTCCCTACCCTTCGGGGGACATCTGAACCCCAGGGTCCTACAGCCAGGGGGGCCAAACCCTCAGACCCCAAATAAAGAGCATTGCTCCAGAGTGGGGGGTGACCCCTCCTTCCCACCCCTGGGGGGATGAGGGGACTTGGGGGGGATGGGGTGGGAGGGACTGGGGTGGGGGTAGGAGGGGGAGTGCGGGCATGGATGAGGGTCCTGGAGTGGGGGGCCCTGTGCAGGGATAGGGTGTGGGTGTCCCCGGGCCAGATGGGATATGGGGGTGCAAGGGGGGTCCCGCTTCAGAGGTGGTGTGTGGGGGTCCCTGGGAAGTGTCCCCTTGCAGAGATAGATGTGAGAGTCTGAGGGGGTCCCCGTGCAGGGATGGGGTGTGGGGGTCCCGGGAGGGTCCCCATGCAGGGATGGAGTGTGGGGTGTCCCGGGGGGTCCCCATACACCCCCACACCCCCCCGGCCGCTGCACGGTGCGGCCAAAGGCTGGGAGGGGTGGCCCCGCCCCAGACACGGCCCCTCCCACGCGAATCCCAGGGCGAGGGCCGGGGGGAATTTGGGACTCCGCGGGGCTTCCCCGGCTGCTGTTCAGCCCTTCCTCCTCTTCCTCTTCTTCCTCCTCCACCTGGCGGTCACTGCGGCTCAGAGCGGGGGCCTCAGAGCCTCCCTTCTCCCTCCTTCCCTGCACGTGCCCTCCTGCTCATCCCTGCCCCCGTCCCATCCCCATCCCATCCCATCCCATCCTGGATTATTAATCTGGACACAGATCTCACACCTGGATTTATTAATCTGATGGGTGAACGTGTAGATCTGTTGGGAGACAAGTGGATGGACACCTAGATCTGATGGGTGGAATCCTAGATCTGATGGGTGGAATCCTAGATCTGATGGGTGGAATCCTGGATCTGATTGGAAACACATAGATCTGATGGATGGACACATAAATCTGATGCATGGACACCTGGATCTTTTGGAAAACACATAGATCTGGTGGGTGGACACATAGATCTGGTGGGAAACATGAAGATCTGATGGATGGACACATAAATCTGATGCATGGACACCTGGATCTTTTGGGAAACGCATAGATCTGGTGGGTGGACACATAGATCTGATGGGAAACATGAAGATCTGATGGATGGACACGTAGATCTGGTGGGTGGGCACATAGATCTGGTGGGAGGGCACACAAATCTGATGGATGGACACCTGGATCTTTTGGGAAACACATAGATCTTGTGGGTGGACACATAAATCTGGTGAGTGGACATGTAGATCTGATGGATGGACACGTAGATCTTCTGGGAAACACACAGGTCTGGTGGGTGGACACACAGGTCTGATGGATGGACATACAGATCTGACAGGAGGAAGTGCATCCTTCGTCTTCATTGCTGGGGCAGAAGCACTTCTGTGGGGACCAGGGATGGTTCAACCCCACCAAGATCTCATGTGCTGCCTGAGGGGACTCTCTGGAGACCCACCAGCATCAACCACAGCGTTCCTGGGGGTCATGGGGGCTTCTTCCAGCAGCATCCAAAGGAAATGCCTGCTTGGGCAGCGGGATCTGGGGCTGGATGGTGGCTCTTTGGTGGCACCTTGGTGACCCTAAAAGCACGAAGGGGGTTTTTGGTTTTGGTTCCTCTGTCTGAAGAAGCTTCCTCCAGGAAGGGCTGTGCCAGCACCAGCAGCTGCTTCCTGGGGATTTCCAGCCGTGACAAGCCCTGGAGGAGAAGAAAAGACGAGCCCTCAAAGAGAAATAATATAAAATGGAGTAATAATAATAATAAATTAACTAGTAACTGCGGTATGGTGCTTCCCCCAAGCAAAGGGACCTCGTGCCACACTGATGGGACAAGGTGACAGCTCTTGTCTCTGCCCACACTAGCCAAGAAAACTGAAATGTGATTAAAAAAAATAGGGTAAAACCCAGCAAAAAAAAAAAAAAAAAAAAATGGGATTTGAGGGTTGGATCCTGTCTGGGAAGGGACCCACTGCTTCCTTGCATCCCGTGATCCACCCAAGCTTCCCAGTTTTAGTAGCAGAGAGGAGATTTGATGGGTTTGGGGCTCCCATTTCCCCGTGTCAGAGAGGTCACCGGGGATGCAGTGTAGGCACTGAAGGTTTTTGGGCTGATTTCAGCAAATTTGTCTCGAAGCCTCACCCACGTCCTTTCCTAAAAACCCCGCATCACCTCAGCTGGTCACGCTTAGGGGCGAGGACTCTCCCGTGTCCCTCCGAGGGAGAGAGAAATCAATGATTAATTTCAATTACAGCGGCGCAATTCCACAATCCCCCTCCCCGTCCGGGATTCTCCTTGGCAGGGGTCGCACAGTGTGGGCAGTTTCGGGGCGGCGGGATGATGCCGGCGGGATCGGGATCGGGATCGGGAGCGGGAGCGGGAGCGGGAGCGGGCGGGAGCGGGAGCGGGATCGGGATCGGGAGCGGGAGCGGGAGCGGGAGCGGGAGCGGGAGCGGGCCCGGGCTGCGCTGGCCCCTTAAGGCGCGGACAGGTGCGGCGGGGCTGAGTGACGGGGCGGGCAACCAATGGAGAGGCAGAGGGCGGGCGGACGGGCCAATGAGCGGGCGGGAAGGGGAGGGGGCGGGTCGTGGGCCGGCGGCTCCCGCGGCGGGGCCGAAGCGGGGCCGGAGCCGGAGGGGACGGGGACGGGTTGGCCCCGCTCGGCCCCGCTCGGCCCCGCTCGGCCCCGCTCGGCCATGGCGAGGCGGGCGGCGGCCCCCGCCAGGCCCCTGGGGGATGATTTCTCCTTCGTGAGCCCGGTGGTGAAGTACGTGCTCTTCTTCTTCAACCTGCTCTTCTGGGTGAGTGCGGGGTGGGGGGGAACAGCAGGACCTTGGAACTGTCCCCACCCCTGGACCCTATTGGGACACCCCATCCCCAGGACCCCACCCTGACCACCCATTCCCGAGGGACCCCCGGGCACTGGGGCTGTCCCCATTCCTGGACCTAATTGGGACCACCCCATCCCCAGAGACCCCTGAATCCCCCCCCATCCCCGGGAACTCACCGTGACCCCCCCACTCCCGAGGGACTCCCGGACCCCGGGGCTGTCCCCATCCCTGGCCCCTATTGGGATACCCCATTCCCAGGGACCTACCAGGGCACCCCATTCCTGAGGGACCGAGAGACCCTGGGGCTGCTCCATCCCTGAACCCCACTGGGACCCCCCCCCATCCCCAGAAACCCACCTTGACCCCCCATTCCCGAGGCACTCCCGGCCCCTGGAACTGTGCCCACTCCTGGACCCTGCTGGGACCCCTCATCCCCAGGGACCCACCGGGACACCCCGTCTGCAGGGTCCCATTGGAGGCCTCTGGGACCTGCCCCATCCCTGGACCTAATTGGGACCCCCCTTCATCCCTGAGATCCCCACAGTGCCCCCCACCCTCAGGACCCCACTGGGAACCCCTGACTCTGGGGCTGTCCCCATCCCTGAACCCCATGGGGAGCCACTATCCTCGGGATCCCCGGACTCTCCCTGTCCCTGGTACCCCCACTGTGACCCCCCCATTCCCGAGGGACCCCCAGCCCCTGGGACTGTCCCCACCCCTGGACCCCACTGGGACCCCCATCCCCGGACTCCCGTGGGATCCCATTGGAGCCCCTCCATCCCTGGGACCCCATCAAGGACCCCCTCAGACCCTGGGACTGTCCCCACCTCCAGGACACCACTGGGACCCCCACACGACCCCAGCCCCAAGACCCCACTGGGACATCCCCTTATCGCTGGGAGGTGGAGGATTCCCACATTTCCAGAGGGGTTCGGGAGTCTTTTGGGCCCCCACCATCTCCCCAGGACCCATCCTGGCCCCAGCCCACCCGGGGGACACCTCACGTGTGGAAGTCACGTGGTTTTCTGTGTTTTGAGGCTTTTGTGATTTTTTTCTAATATTTTTGAAGTTCTTTTATGTTTTAAGGATTTTTTTAACGTTTTGAGAATTTTTTTGTGCTGTGGTTTTTTTTGGTTTTTTTTAAGTTTTGGGGACTCTTTTACTGCTTGGGGGGATTTATTTTGTTTGCTCGTTTGTTTTGGGGGGCCTTTTTGTTCCTGCTTTCGCGGGGTGTTTTTTGGAGGGTGGTGTTTTTTTCGGGGGGTTGTTTCCGTGTTCGCAGTCGTGTTTTTGAGGAAGTTTCTCGCTGCCGATAAACCACGTCCCTCTGTCCAGTCACCCGTAGCAGAACAGGGCTGGTGTGGACAGAGGTGGCCTCCCAGGGGGTGGGGACAGAGGTGGCCGCCCAGGGGGTGGGGACAGAGGTGGCCTCCCAGGGGGTGGGGACAGGTGTGACCTCCCAGGGGGTGGGGACGCGGTGGGCACCGTGTCCATCTGCAGGTGACAAGAGGAAACTGAGGCAGCAGGTCCAGCTCTGGTTCCCCATTTGCAGCCCTGACTCTGGGGGGGCCTCAGCCGGGCCCCCGGGTGTGGGATGGGGGTGGTGGTGCCCGGGGGGGCTCACAAACCCCCCCATCCTGCTCTGCAGATGATCTCCATGGTGATGGTGGCCGTGGGGGTCTACGCCCGGCTGCTGAAACACGCAGGTGAGGTTGGGGGGCTACTTACCCGGGGCTGATCCCGAGCCAGCACCACAGTCGGGGCTGCCCCATCCCTGGGGGACCCCGGGGGCTCTGTGGGGGCTGCCAGTGACAGCTCCTCGTGACAGAGGCAGCCATGGCCTGCCTGGCAGTGGACCCCGCCATCCTCCTCATCGTGGTCGGCGTCCTCACCTTCCTCATCACCTTCTGCGGCTGCATCGGCTCCTTGCGGGAGAACATCTGCCTGCTGCAGACGGTGAGGCCCTCCTGGGGGACCCTCCTGGGGGGATCTCGGCCTCTCTCCCCTGGTCCCCTCGCCGCCACACTCCTCTCTCCCGCAGTTCTCCGCCTGCCTGACCGTCGTGTTCCTCCTGCAGCTGGCGGCCGGCGTGCTGGGCTTCGTCTTCTCCGACAGGGTACGGTGGGGGGAGCAGAGGGAGGGCTGGGTGACCCCAGTCCTGTCCTGCTGGGTGACAACCCCGCTGGTGTCCGCCCTGCAGGCACGAGGGAAGGTCAGCGAGATCATCAACGGGGCCATCGTGCACTACCGGGATGACCTGGACCTGCAGAACCTCATCGACTTCGGGCAGAAGGAGGTGAGGGGGCTCTGGGGTTTTCCTCTGACAAACGTGTCCCCACTCCTGGGTCAGGCTTAAATCCGTGGGGTGCTGCAGGCTGGGGATGGTTGGTGGCTTCTCCGTGAGGATTTGATGTTCATGGTGATGCTGTTCAGGCAGGCTGGGGAGAGCAGGAGGAAAAGGGGGTGGGGGAAGAGAAACACCCCTCGGTGTCCTGTCCCCCCGGGCACTGTCCCTGTCCCTGCTGAGCGCTCCGTGCCCTTCCCACAGTTCAGCTGCTGCGGGGGCGTGTCCTACAAGGACTGGTCCCAGAACATGTACTTCAACTGCACCGCCACCAACCCCAGCCGGGAGCGCTGCTCCGTCCCCTTCTCCTGCTGCCTGCACGACGCCAACCAGGTGAGTCCTGGGGGGACCCCGGGTGGCCTCGGGGAACGCCCCCACTCAGTGCCTCTTCCCCCCATCCCTTGGGGCTGCGCTGAGCCTGGGGCCCCCTCCCAGGGAGAGGGAACACACCGATGGCAATGTATGGAACCCCATCCTGCCCTCTGGGTTTGGGTCCCCCATTCCACTCTCCGGGTTTGGGGACTCCCAGGTGAGGTTACTGTGATGAGGTGGTGGTGAATTCCCCCACGCTGCCCCCAGGGATTGTCCCTTTTTGGAGCTGGGAGTGTTTAGGGGGCCTGGCTCTGGAGGGATGGGGTGGGAACACATGAGGAAGGGACACCCCGCTTGACACTAAGGTGAGGGCAGAGCTCCTGGTCACCCCACAGCTACCCCCCAAGAGCAGGGACCCCGGTGTGAGCTGTCCCCAACCCCTCTGTGCCCTGTCCTCCCTCCCAGACCGTCATCAACACCATGTGTGGCCACGGGATGCAGGACAAGGGCTACCTGGAGGCCAGTGCCTTCATCTACACCAACGGCTGCATCGACAAGCTGGTCAACTGGATCCACAGCAACCTGTTCCTGCTGGGGGGCATCACCCTGGGGCTGGCCCTCCCCCAGGTACAGGGGTCCCCGGGGACTGGGGGGGAGAAGGATCCGTCCCGCAGCTCCACTTTGTGCTCCATCTCATTTGGGAGTTGCCTTAAGGATGTGGTTAATCCCAGGGGGATGTCCGGGCAGGATTTTGGGTGAGGGAACAGTGCAAATATTGGGCACAGGGGGCACAGGGGTGACAGTGCCTGGTATCCCTCAGCATCTCCCTCTCATGTTCCTCTTTTTCTCTCTCTCCTTTCTCTTTTTCTCTCTCTCCCCTTCCCCTTTCTCTCTCTTTCCCCTTCCTCTTCTCTTTTCCATCTCTCCTTCCTCTCTCCCTTCCCCTTCCTCTTCCCCTCCCCTCCTTCTTCCCCTCCCTCTCTCTTTGCCCTTCCCCTTCCTTCTCTCTCCTCCTCCTCTCCCTCCTCTTTCCCCTCTCCCTCTCCTCCCTCCTCTCCAGCTGGTGGGCATCATCCTGGCTCAGCTCCTCATCAACCAGATCCGAGACCAGATCAAGCTGCAGCTCTACAACCAGCAGCACCGGGCAGACCCCTGGTACTGAGCTGGCGTCCGTCCGTCCCACGGCACAGCGGCGGCTCCCGGCACCTCAACAGCTGTCTTCCCAACCCCGGATCCATGGGAAGAGCTGAGGGGGCTTTGCTGGAGAAGAGGGAGGTAGGAGCAGGCTGTGGATCCGTGGTGGCCGCTGTGCTGCGGAGAGGGACGCGCAGGGACACTGGAGACTCGGTGCCTTTGGTAGCCGGTGACGGGCTCGGCCGGGACGTGCCGAGCTGCTGTGCCCTGTTTTGGGGCCTGACCCAGCCCCAGAACCACTGTCTGTCTGTCTGTCTGTCTGTCCTGCTGGGGCACAGGTCGTGCACAAAGGTTTGCACTGGGATGTGCTTCCCATCTCTGCGTGTGCTGGAGATGGGCATTTGTCTGTCTGTCTGTCTGTCCACGCACCGAGCTGCCTTTGCCCAAGGTGGGCTCCAGAACTGGGGACGTTCCCGCCATCGCCAGGTGCCACCAACCCTGTCGGCTCCATCTCAGTGTCCCAGACAGGGCTGGGAGCAGGAGCCATTGGCACAGGAGGGCTGATCCATGGGTGCTTCCTCAGCTGAGGGCGGAGGTCCCGTCTGTGCTCGGGGTGCTGGGCCCTTCCATAGGGTGCTGAGCCCCTCCACAGGGAGCTGGGCCCCTCCATAGGGAGCTGGGCCCCTCCATAGGGTGCTGAGCCCCTCCACAGGGTGCTGAGCCCCTCCACAGGCTGCTGGGAGGGGCCAGGTGCTGGGCCCCTCCATAGGGTGCTGAGCCCCTCCACAGGGAGCTGAGCCCCTCCACAGGGAGCTGAGCCCCTCCACAGGGTGCTGAGCCCCTCCACAGGCTGCTGGGCCCCTCCATAGGGTGCTGAGCCCCTCCATAGGGTGCTGAGCCCCTCCACGGGGTGCTGAGCCCCTCCACAGGGAGCTGAGCCCCTCCACAGGGTGCTGAGCCCCTCCACAGGGAGCTGAGCCCCTCCACAGGGAGCTGAGCCCCTCCACAGGGAGCTGGGCCGCTCCATAGGGTGCTGAGCCCCTCCACAGGGTGCTGAGCCCCTCCATAGGGTGCTGAGCCCCTCCACAGGGAGCTGAGCCCCTCCACAGGGTGCTGAGCCCCTCCATAGGGAGCTGGGCCCCTCCACAGGGAGCTGGGCCCCGCCTGGAGTCAGTGCCAGGCTGTGAAGTTCCCTTGGCTTTCATGGAGAATAAAGAGACGAGTCCGGACGCTCCGATCCCTGCGCGGGGGCTGCTGGATCACGGGGGGTGGGACACCCTGGATGGGGACAGGGGGAGGCCACCCCTATCCCGTGCCCTTATCCCGTGCCATATCCCGCATCTCCCTCCCCAAACGAGGGAAGGGGAAGGAGGCGAGGGGCAGCAGAGCCTGCGGGAAGCGGTGCAGCGGCTCCACCTCGGCCCCGCCGCGTTCCGGAGCTGTCGTAAACCGTGGGTGGAGTTTTTTGGGATTTCCCCCCCCCCCCCCCCCCTTCTAATTTTCCCTTCTGCTCAGGCTGGGTGGTCCCTCCCGCGGAGGGAGTCGGGATGCGGCCCAGCTCCAGCTCTTTGTGTGCGGCCGGGAGGCACCGGCGGCTCTCCCAAAAGAAAAAAAAAAAAAAAGAAAAAAACACCAACCCCGTTCTCTTCCCCAAAAATCCGCCTCGTCCCCCCGCCAAAAGGGGGGTTGTTACCCAAAAAAAACCCCATTTCTCCCCCCAGAAGTGACTGTTCCTCTGAGGAACGACACCTCCCCATGAAAAAAAAAAAGTGATTTCTCCCCCCTCAAAAGTTAGTTTTCTCCTCAAAACTTCCCCCCCAAAGAGCTAATTCTCCCCCAAAAAGCGAGTTTATTCCAAAAAGTAGCTGCTCTCCCAAAAACTGGCTTATCACCCCAAAAAACCTATATTTTCTCCCCCTCAAAAACGCTGTCTTTTCTCCCCCCCCCAAAACCCCTGTCTTTTCTTGCCAAAAAGTAACTTTTCTCCCCAAAAAGCAACTTTTCTTCCCCCAAAAGGGACTTCTGTCCCCAAAAAGTGACTTTTTCTCTCTTAAAAGGCGTCTTTTGTCACCCCCAAAGTGACTTCCCCCCCAAAAAAGGTAACTTTCCCCTAAATAAAGGAACTTTCCTCTGCAAAAATCAACTTTATTCCCCCCCAAAACCTGTTTTGTCTCCTAAAAGTGACTTTTACCCCAAAAATGTAGCTTTCCCATCAAACAAGTAACTTTTCTCCTCAAAAAAAGTGGCTTTTGTTCCCTAAAAGTGACTTTTACCCCCCAAAAAAGTAACTTTTCTCCCCCCAGAAGTGACTATTGTTCCCAGAAAACTTTTCTTCCTCCAAAAGTGACTTTTATCCCCAAATGGAAACTTTTCTCTCCTGGTCAAGTGACTTTTTTCCCTCAAAAACCAAGTTTTCTCCTCCCCAAAGAGAACTCACAAGAAGGAACACTTTCCTCACTTTTTAGTGACTTTTTCCCTCACAAAAAGTGACTTTTTCCTCACAAGAAGGAACTTTTTTCTTCCATGAAGGAACTTTTCCTTCCAAAAAGTAACTTTTTCCTCCCCCAAAGTGACTTTTCTTTACAAAACCCCCAACTTTTCCCTCACTTTTTAGCGACTTTTTCCTCACAAACAGGAACTTTTTCCTCACAAAAGGGAACGTTTTCCTTACAAAAAGGAACCATTTCCTCACAGAAGTGATTACTTCCACACCCAGTGACTTTTTAAACTCACAAAACTTGACTTTTTCCTCACAAAAAGTAAGGTTTTCCTCACAAAAGTGACTTTTTCCTCAAAAGGAACAACCTTTTCCTCATACAAAGGGACTTTTTCTTCACAAAAATTGCATTTTCCCTACACAAGTGTGAACTTTTTCCTCGCAAAAAGGAACTTTTTCCTCCCCTGACTCTTCCCCGACAAACAAAAAAAAAAAAAAAAAGGGTGACTTTTTCCCGACAAAAAGCGATTTTTCTCCTCACAAAAGCGAACTTTCCCCTCACATTCACCTCCCTTTTTTCCTCACGCAAAAAAGGGGACTTTCTCTTCACAAAAAAACCCGCAGTTTCCCCTCCGCGAAAGCGACTTTTTTCCTGCCAGAAAGGAACTTTTCCCTCGCCCTAAGCCCGCTTTTCCTCCCCCAAAACCCGCTTTCCCCCTGTTTTTCCTCCTCGAGCGTGGCTTTTTTCCCTCACGAAACGGAACTTTCTCCTCGCCTGAGCGACTTTTCCCTCACGAAAAAAAACAACAACAAAAAAACAAACAACCGCGGCTTTTCCCTCGCCCTGAGCGACTTTTCGTCCCGAAGAGACTTTCCCCTCGGCTCCCAGCGACTTTTCGCTCACAAAGAGGCGAGTTTCCCCTCCGGAGCCCGCGGCTCTCCCCTCACGCTCAGCCCCCCGGCCCTCCCTCGCTCCCTCCCCTCACGGAGCCCGCCCCGGCGGGGGGCGCGGGCCGGGCCGGGCCTGGGGCGGGGGCCGAGGCGGGGCAGGAGCCGCGGGGCCGCTCCGCTCCGCTCCGCTCGCTGCCGGCCGGCCCAACAAAGGCCATGGCGGTTCGCTGCGGGCCGCCCTGAGCCCGGCCGTGCCCCCGGGATGCGGCGCTGGGCCCTGGCCCTGGCGCTGGCGCTGGCGCTGGCGCTGGGCGGGCGCTGCCCCGCGGCCCCCAACGCCTCGGCCGGGCCCCCGCGCTGCCGCCGCCCCGCGCCCTGCGAGCGGCTCCGCTTCGGCGCCTGCCTGGGCTCCGCGCTGCCCTACGCCGCCACCTCCACGCTGCTGGCCAACGACTCCGCCTCGCAGGAGGAGGCGCACGGAAAGCTCCTGCTCTGGTCCGGTACGGGACCGGCACCGGGACAGGCCCGGGGTGGCCCCGGCGGGGTGCGGGGTTGTGGGGTGGAGAGGGGGGGACGGGCACGGGGGATGTGGGATTGAGGCGGTTTGGGGGGTGTTGGGGATGTTGAGGGGCTGGGGAGGGGTGAAGTGTAGGGGGGAGCGGTGTGGTGGGAGATGGGGGGGGAGCAGTGTGGGAAACCGTGTGGGAGGGGAGTGGGAAGGGGAAGGGTACAGAGGGGAGCAGTAGAGTGGGGGACAGGGGATGGGGGCGGTATAGGAAACTGTGTAGGAGGGGAGTGGGGACGGGGACAGTATAGAAAACTGTGTAGGAGGGGAGTGGGGATGGGGACAGTATAGGAAACTGTATAGGAGGGGAGTGGGGATGGGGACAGTATAGGAAACTGTATAGGAGGGAAAAGGGAATGAGGACAGTATAGAAAACTGTGTAGCAGGCGAGTGGGGATGGGGACAGTATAGAAAACTGTGTAGGAAGGGAAAGGGATGGGGACAGTATAGGAAACTGTATAGGAGGGGAAAGGGAATGGGGCCAGTATAGGAAACTGTAGGAGGGGAGTGGGGATGGGAACAGTAGAGAGGGGAGCAGTAGAATGGGGGACAGGGGATGAGTACTATGTAGGAGACTGTATAGCAGGGGAGTGGGGATGGGGACAGTATAGGAAACTGTGTATCAGGGGCCTGAGGATGGGGACAGTGTAGGAAACTGTAGCAGGGGAGTGGAGATGGGGACAGTATAGGAAACTGTGTATCAGGGGCCTGGGGATGGGAACAGTATAGGAAACCGGATAGGAGGGGAGTGGGGATGGGGACAGTGTAGGAAACTGTGTAGCAGGGGAGTGGGGATGGGGAAACTGTATATCGGGGGCCTGGGGATGGGAACAGTGTAGAGAGGAGCCGTAGAATGGGGTACAGTGATGGGTAAGTGGGGGACAGGAGATGGGTACAGTATAGAGGGGAGCAGGATGGTGAGGGACGGGATTGGTGCAGTAAAGAAAGCTGTATAGTAGGGACTGGAGATGGGTACAGTATAGAGGGGAGTGGTAGATTGGGGTACAGGGAATGGGTACAGTATAGAAAATTGTGTAGCAGGGGCCTGGGGATGGGTACAGAGTAGAAAACCATATCAGGGGACTGGGAGTGGGTACAGTGTAGAGGGGAGCAGTGTAGTGGGGTCCTGGGAATGTGTATGGTATAGAAGGGAGCAGAGTAGTGGGGGACAGAGGACAGCTACAGTACAGATAAACTATAGCAGGGGACTGGAGATGGGTACAGTATAGAGGGGAGGAGGAGAGGGGGGTACAGGGGATGGGTGCAGCATAGAAAGCTGCATAGCAGGGGAGTGGGGATGGGTGGAGTGTAGAGGGGAAGAGAAGAGTGGGGTACAGGGGATGGGTGAGTATAGAGGGTGAGCAGGATAGCAGGGCTCTGGGTGTTGGTGCAGTATAGGAAACTATTGCAGGAGAGTGGGGATGAGTGCTGTGTAGAGGGGGAGCAGGATAGTGGGGGACAGGGGGTAGGTACAGTGTACAAAA